AAAATATATTGAAATGTACTAGTATTGAAATCATAAATGTAAAAATAGTTGTGGAAATTGTCTTATTTTCTTTATCTCATTTGTTTAAAGCATAACTTTTCTTTTTTATTGTTATAACTAAATAAGGATAAATGAATACTGTAATTGAAAATATATTTTAAATCTTTGTCATGTGTTTTTTTTTTAAGCTATTGCAAATTGTATCATTCCTGATTATACACAAGTTTGTGGGTGGTATAAAATAAATTTTATACTTCTATTTTGTACCTCGTAGTCTAATTTTTCTTTCCTCCTCAGATTCTGATTTTGTCTTAAAGATTATTTTAGCTGCACGGCAGTGTGCATGCCTTTAATCCCAGCACTAGGGAGGCATCTGAAGGTGGAGCTCTGTGAGTTTGAGGTCAGTCTTGCTGTCTACCAAGCTAGTTCCAGGACTGCACAAAGAAACCATGTCTCAAGCACACACCAAAACAAAAAAACAAAAACAAACAAACAAAAAAAAACACAGACCATGTTTAAGCTACATGTTATGTTAGAAGTCATGCTTAGCATACCCAAAACCCCAGATAAGTCCAGAGACCCAAAGAAATGGTTGTTTTAATTGTATTTTATGTGCCTGGGTGTTTTGCCTGTATACATGTCTGCACCGAGTGCATATCTGGTACCTATTGAAGCTGGAAGAGGGCATTCAATTCCCTGGGATTGGCGGCACAGATGAGCCACCGTACAGGTACTGAGAACACAGGTCCTTGGGAAGAGAAACCAGTGCTCTGTAACACCCTCTGCAACCCTCTAAAACAGATTTCCATCACCCCCTCAAATCATCCTAGTATCTTTAGGCATCTGTCAGCTCCCAAGTGACTGCCCTGGTAATGACCAAAGTGATTTAACTTTGTATAGTTTTGCCCTTTTTAGAATAGAGTACAGTGAGTAGTTTATTTCCCTTAGCATACTGTTCCTTAGATTATTAACCCATACAAAGCCTTACTTTGTGTTTTGTTTAAGACAAAGTATTGTGTTACATTACATGTTGGCCTCAAAATGGGTGTCAATTACTCCTACGTGAACATCCTGAGGTCTGAGATTACAGTGATCAGTGATCTTATAGATAACAATCAGATGTTGCCCACACTTTTTCCCAGTCCTCTGGTGGTGATTCATATACCTGATTGGAAGCATGTTTGTAGCTTACTGTATACTAGCGCTAGTCCTCTCTACATAAGAATGCACCTAGTCAGCACGCCCTTAATCCCAGCACTTGGGAGGCAGAGCAGGCAGATCTCTGTGAGTTCGAAACCAAGCCTGGTCTACCAACCAAGTTCCAGGACAGGCTCCTAAACAATACAGAGAAACCCTGTCTCGAAAAACCAAAAAAAAAAGAATGCACCTAGTCTTCAATCCTAGCACTTTTGATGCAAAGGCAAGAGGATCTCTGAGTTCGAGACCAGCTTGGTCCAGAGTGAATTGCACAAGAGCCAGGATTATACAGCGGATCCCTGTCCAAGAAAACAAGTGAGGGAGGAGGCGGGGTTGAACCTATGCCATGATTCATGTTATTAGCTTCAGCTTCCCTCACCTTTCCTACATCAGTTCCAAATGCATATGACATATCTACCCTTAATTTTGTGATAGATTCCTATTGTGCTCAAAATCAGTAACAATATGCAATCTGCTTTCTCCTTTCTGCTGGGTTTTTTTTTTTTTCTGGGACCAGATCATACTATGCATTGTTCAGGATGCTGGTTTTGAACATCAAATCTTGTGGCATCATTCTCCAGAGTGCTAGGTTTACTGGCCTGCACTGCCAGGGTACCTACTCCCCAAACACACATCCCATACTGCCTGCGGGTCTCTCTTTTCTCTCCTGTAGGGAAGCAAACCCAAAGCCTCAAACTTGCCAGGCTCTTAGTCCTGAGCTACAGCCTCCACATGCTCCCCTACTTGGATGTGTGTAAATGAAAGTGACAAGGAAAATGATGGTAACTCTGCTTCCCTAATTAGACGTGAGGTAGTATTTCTCATATTGATTACACCAGGCATTGAACCCAAGGCCTCTTATTCTACTCAAGTACTTTGCCATTGAATTACTCCCTCAGTCCCCTTTCTACTTTATTTATTTATTTTTTGGTTTTTCGAGACAGGGTTTCTCTGTGGCTTTGGAGGCTGTCCTGGAACTAGCTCTTGTAGACCAGGCTGGCCTCGAACTCACAGAGATCCGCCTGCCTCTGCCTCCCGAGTGCTGGGATTAAAGGTGTGCACCACCAACTCCCGGCTCTACTTTATTTTTAAGACAGTTTCACTAAATTAACCATGGCTGGCCTTTCCATCTCCCTGCCTGCTCCCAAGATGGAGCATTATAAGTGTGCTTCACCATGACCCCTCCACAGAACTTCTCTAGTTTTCAGCAGAGTGATACAATGTAGTTAATAATCCAAGATTCTCAGGACATCTTTTTGTTTTGTTTTGTTTGCTTTCTTGTTTTTTGAGACAGGGTTTCTCTGTGTAACAACCCTAGCTGTCTTGGAACTAACTCTGTAGGCCAGGCTGGCCTCAGTCTCCTGAGTGCTGGGATTAAAGGTGTGCTCCACCACCTTCCGGCAAAACTACATCATTTTTAAAGACAAATGTTACTTTTTCCATTCCCTTAGTTGTGTGTATGTATATAAGTATGCCTAGCCTTCCTTTCCTTTCCTTTTCTTCCTTTCCCTTTCTTTTCCTCCTTTCTGTCTGCCAGAAATTTGGTTTTTGCATGCAAAACAATTCCACTGTATTCCTGTATTCTTTTGTTTGTGTGTATGGAGGGTGTGTGTGGGGGGGGGGTGTTCCACACAGGATTTCCCTGTAGCTTTGGAGCCTGTCCTGGAACCCAGCTTGGTAGACCACACAGGCCTCAAACTCACAGAGATCCTGTCTCTAGTTCCCTAATGCTGGGTTTAAAGGTGTGTGTCCCCACCAACCAGCTTGCACTGGATTTTTTTTTCCAAGATAGGGTTTCGCTGTATAACAGCCCTAGATGTCCTGGAACTAGCTCTGTAGACCAGGCTGGCCTCGAACTCACTGAGATCTGCCTGCTTCTCCCTCCTGAATGCTGGGATTAAAGGTATGTGCCACCACCACCCAATTTGTACTGGATTTTTAACTCACATGCAAAATTAGTCTGAAATGGATCAATCAGGTTTATTTTCTTCAGTTGGAAATCAATCCCTAACTTATGTGTAGAGTGACTTCTTTTATTGTTCTACTAATAAATAATTCTTGGGAGTCAGATATTAGAGTATAATCCTGATAGATCTATGGAGTGACAGAAAATGATCAGCCCACCCTCCTCTCCAAATTCCCATATTGAAAAAGCTGGAGACTCTTTCGAAGCCCCCCTAATTCCTCCCGGTGTCTCTATCAATTCGTCTGGATCTGCCAGGAAACTCTGTCATTTATTCTGGCCAGCTGAACATGGACTCCACCCTCTGAATCAAGGTTTAACTCCTTTGTCAGTCTTCGGAGCCACAATACAAACAAATCTGCAACATACATGAGGTCCAATACTACAGATTGGCTTTAGTTCTGTCCCTGGATTCTCCACTGTGGAAGGAAAGAACTGTTTCTGAACTGCTCAAGTTCTTTATGGCTCCTTAGTGTTGTCACTCACACACAGACACATCATATATACACATGCAACAATAAAATTGCACACACATGCACTTGGGAGTTAGAGGCAAGGAGATCTCTGTCAAGGCACCCTGGTCTACAAAGTGAGTTCAAGGACAGCCAGAACTACACAGAGAAGCCCTGTCTCCATGTCTCATCAGGGACAGAGGAGAAGAAAGATTTGAAATTAGCTATAGGCTCTTAGACACCAAAAAGCATGAAAAGGGGGAGGAGGAAGGAAAAGAAATCGATAAATTTAATTTACATAAAATTAAGATTTGTGAATGAATGAGGTGGGCATAGTACTCCATCCTTTCATCCCAGCAGTTGGGAGGTAGAGGCAGGCAGATCTCTGAATTTGAGGCCAGCCTAGTATACATAATACCTTCCAAGTCAGCTAGAGCTATTGTGGTGGTTTGAAAGTAATTGGCCCCCATAATCTCATAGCGTGGCTCTATCAGGAGATGTGTTTTTGTTGGAGTGGGTGTGGCCTTGTTGGAGAAAGTATGTCACTATGGGGGCAGGCTTTGAGCTTTCCTATGTTATATTACCCAATGTCTCAGTTCATTTCCTATTGCCTGCAAGACTCCCAGATACTACCCCAGCTCTATGTCTACCTGCACACTGCCACAATTCCCCTTAATGATAATGGCCTGAACCTCTGAAACTGTAATCAAGTTACCAAAATTAAATGTTTTCTTTATAAGAGTTGCCATGGGGACAGCCTCCAAAACAATACAGAGAAACCCTGTCTCGAAAAACCAAAAAAAAACAAAAACAAAAACAAAAAGAGTTGCCATGTTCACAGTGTCTTCTCACAGCAATAGAAACCTTAAGACAGCTATGCAGAGGGCCATTTCTGAAGACACAAATGAACCAAAACACTGAATGAAAAACACCAAGAAAGAAGAATCGTGGTGGTGTATGCCTTTAATCCCAGTACTCTAGGGGCAAAAAACAAGTTGCCCTCTAAGAGTTCAAGGCCAGGCTGGTCTGTATAGTAAACTCCAAGCCTGCCAGGTAAGATGTCTCAAACAAACAAACAAACAAACAAGGCAAGATTCTTATGCATCAGTAACAAAATGGTTTCCAGTTGTTACAGCGAATACTTATAGTGTGAAGTACTCAGTATGGGCTGATTGACAGGAAAAGCATCCAAGAGGAAGATGAAAGAGTGAACTGAATTTCAAATGTCGTCTATGATCCTGGATGGTGTTTTATAAAGAGTTAAGACCATAAAATACACACTGTGTTTCAGCTCAGTGTCAGAGTCCTTGCTTAGTATATGAGTCCCTGAGCTCAATCCCAAGCACCACATACATAATACGTAAATAAATGACAAAATTATGTTTAAATGATAGTCAATACTATTAATTTTTATTAGAATCAAAATTGCCAAAAAACGTGAGTGGTGGTGGTGGTGGTCGTGGTGGTAGTGGCCCATGCCTTGATGACATGATTATTTAAGTGTTAGACCCAAGGACCAAGTTCGGAATCCAGCATCGGTATGACAACTGAGCATCTGTGACCTGAGTGCTATAACCTCGAGTGGCTGTAACAATAGCACTGGGGATGTGGGGACAGCCAGGTCCCTGAGGCTCATGGGGTGTTGAGAAATATTGTTGGACAGCACACTTCTAGCTTAAACTGCAAGCTCCAGCTTCAGTGAGAGACTGTGTATCAAAAAGTCAGTAGAGCATAGCTGGAGAGATGGCTCTGTGGTTACAGAACACGCTGCCTTTTCAAAGCATCTGGGTTCAGTTCCTGGTGCTCACATAAAGGTGGCTCACCCCCAGCTGATGACTCCAGCTCCAGAGGATCTGACAGGCTCTTCTGTCCACCAAAGATACCCTACACACATGCACGTACATATAAACACAAATAAATGTGAAAAAATAAGGAGAGGCTAGAGAGATGGCTTAGAGATTAAGAACACTGGCAATCATGGTATACATCTTTAATCCCAGCATTTGGGAGGCAGAGGCAGGCAGATTTCTGTGAGGTCATAGGCCAGCCTGGTCTACAGAGTGAGTTCTAAAACTGGTTCCAAAGCAACAGAGAAACCCTGTCTCAACCCTTTTGTGCCTCAACAAACACACACACACACACACACACACACACACACACACACACACAAAGCATTGGCTGCTCCTCTAGAAGACGTGGGTCTGATTACAAACACTAACATGGCAGCTTACAATAGTCAATAACTTCAGTTTCAGGGGATCCTACGCCCTCTTCCGGCCTCCACTGGTATAAGGCACATATGTGGTGCAGATATAAATGCAACCAAAACATCTACACAGATAAAAATGTTAAGAAAAGTTGTAAAAACAAAGAAAGAGTTGTGCCATGTTGTGGTGGCACACACCTTCTATCCCAGCACTCAGGAGGCAGAGGCAGCTGGATCTCTGTGAGTTTAAGGTCAGCTTGGTCTATAGAATGAGTGCCAGGACAGCCAGGGCTACAGAGAAATCTTATCTGGAAACAAACAGACAAACAAACAAATGCTGTAGGGAGATAGAGATGGCTGGCTTCTCTGTTCTTCTAGACGTCCTGGATTCAATTCCCAGGACCTACATTAGATTATGTAGTTTCTAATCTAATACCCTCTTCCAGTGTGCATGATAAAAGGCAGATAAAGCACTCATGTACATAAAATACACAAATAAACCATTGCCAGATTGTGGTGTCATATGCCTTTAATAACCAGCGGTAGGCAGATCTCTGATTTCAAGGCTACCATGGACTACAGAGCCAATTTCAGGACAGGCAGGACTGTGAAAAGAAACTCTATCTTGATGAAAACAAATAAACAAACCAAACAAATAATCAAGAAATCTCAATAGAAGAGACATTCAGTGTTGTCCTCTGTCTTTCATACACCCATACCCTGGAAAGTACACATGCAAACACATCCAAATAGATAAATAAAACTTTTTTTAAAAAGTGGCATGGTCAGGGAGGTTGGCAAGGATGTGACACATTTCTAGTGGGAATGTAAAACAGTCCAGCCACTATAAAAATAGCTGAACACTATGTCAAAAGATAAATATAGGATTATCATATGACCCAGAATTGTATCCAGCGATACAGTCTATTCCCCCAAAGAATTGGAAACAGTTCAAAGAGAAGATTGTGAGTGTTCTGCAGAGGAGGGAAAGGAGAAAAAACCATTTGAAGCAGGGTTAGATTATATAATCCTGACTAAATTGCTATTCACCGTTTTGTCAAAGCTGGCCTTCAACTTGTGGTAATCCTTCTGCCTGGGAATATGGAGATGTGCCACTGTGGCCAGCTGGAAACTCTTTTCCTTCCATAGTTATGGGGTTCTATAATAAAAGACAGATTATAGGTCAAAGCTTTGGTTACTGAGTAGGTTTATAAGGCATCATAACAAAGGAATAATGAATTTAGAGTGAGGTGAGTATGACAAAATCCCATGTCAACTTAAACTATCCCTTGACCAGAAAAAAAAAAAAAGCAAGTCTGGTGTTTGTGACACATGCCTTTAATCCCAGCACTCTGGAGGCAGAGGCAGGGAGATTTCTGTGAGTTCGAGGCCATCCTGGTCTACCAAGCAAGTTCCAGGACAGCCTCCAAAGCAATACAGAGAAACTCTGTCTGGAAAAACTGAAAAAAAAAAAGCAGCAAGAAACTAATTATGGTTGCACAGGTCTGTTGTTATCTCAGCTGGTCAGGAGGCTGAAGTAGGAGTATTAGTTCTAGGCCTGCCTTTTATAAACTGAATTCAAGACCAGCCCAGGCAACTCTATGAGATCCTACCTCCAAGAACAAAGAGGAAAAAACACAAAGAAGATTAGGTAACAGAGTGTTTTTGCAGAATACTCAAGGCTTGAGATAGTTTCTGGTAACATACTTGGTAACATACTAACTCTGTCTCTGAGAGAAAACATCATGACAAAGAAAAAATAATTTCAGGTTTCTTTCATTTTTTTTTTGAGACAGGGTTTCTCTGTGGCTTTGGAGGCTGTCCTGGAACTAGCTCTTGTAGACCAGGTTGGTCTTGAACTCACAGAGATCTGCCTGCCTCTGCCTCCTGAGTGCTGGGATTAAAGGCGTGTGCCACCAGCGCCCGACTAATCTCAGGTTTCTAATGGCAATCTGGGGATAACTAATATGTGTGTGTGTAAGACTGGGCCTGGTCAATATACCCAACATTCATACAACAAGGATGTGTGTTCCACTATGTTCATAGCAGCATTATTTGTAATAGCCAGAACCTGGAAGCAACCTAGATGCCCCTCAACCGAAGAGTGGATAGAAAAAATGTGGTACATTTACACAATGGAGTACTAATCAGCGGGAAAAAAAAAACAATGGAATTTTGAAATTTGCAGGCAAATGGGTGGCACTAGAAAAAACCATCCTGAGTGAGATGACCCAGTCACAAAAAGAGAAACATGGTATGTATTCACTCAATTATGGATTTTAGACATGGATCAGGGGAGTGCCAGCATACAATCCCACTGCCAGAGAATCTGGGAAACAGAACCTTCATCCAGTGACTGCTGAAAGCAGAGGCAAATACCCAATGACAAACACTGAACTGAACTCCTGGAATCCAGTGTCAGAAAAGGAGAACTGATGGGCAAAGGAGCTAAGACTAGGCTGGTTTAACCCACAGAAACAGTTGTCCTGAACAAGGGGGAGCCCTTGGACTCCAGATTTATGGCTGTGTGGAAAGCATGGGACTGACCCAGACCCCCTGAATTTGGGTGTCAGTGAGGAGGCCTAGGTAATCTCTGGGGCCTTGGGTAATGTTTATCCCTGGCATACAAACAGACTTTGAGTGCCCATGCCACAATATGGAGTTACTGGAGATCCTCCATGGAGGGCCTCACCCTCCCTGGGGATCAGAGTGGAGATTGCATGGGGGACTGGGGACCTAGTGGGGAGGGTGGGGGAGAAGGGGAGAGAGAGGGAGCTGGGATTGACATGTGAAACAATGTTTCTAGCCTAAATAAATTAAAAAAAAAAAAAAGACTGGGTCTGGTGGCTCCTGGCTCTAATCCCAGAATTTGAAGCCAAAAGCAGAAGTGCCACAAGTCTGAGGCCAGCTTTGTCTATGTCTTAAGGTCCAGTCCAGAGCCAGGACTACTACTATGGCAATTTTTTTTTGTCTCAAAAAACAAAAGAAAGCCAATCACAATGAAAAAATGTTTTATCTAGTTTTTTGTTTTGTTTTGCTTTTCGAGACAGGGTTTCTCTGTATTGTTTTAGAGGCTGCCCTGGAACTCACTCAGCAGACCAGGCTGGCCTCGAACTCACAGAGATCCCCCTGCCTCTGCCTCCCGAGTGCTGGGATTAAAGGCGTGCGCCACCAACGCCCAGTTTATCTAGTGTTTTTAGGTATAGTCTATTACTTGATGAAAGTATAAAGTCACTTTCCGTAGAAGACATTTTATATTCTGCCACTAAGAAAAATAGAGAAAGGATTGAGAGAGATTTTCTTGCCTAGTTGCTTTTGGCTAAAACTAATTTTTTGTTTGTTTTTTTGAGACAGGGTTTCTCTGTGTAGCCCTGGCTGTCCTAGAACTCACTATGTAGACCAGGCTGACCTCAAACTCATAGAGATCCACCTGCCACTGCCTCCCGAGTGCTGGGATTAAAGACTGCCTAGCTAAATGTAATTCTTAAATCAAAGAGGAACTTAGTATGACATTCTGGTTTCCTTCAGGGTTGGTCATAGGTGCTTGAAAGTAGAATTAACCTGCCAGATAGTAGTAGCACACACCCTTAATCCCAGCACTCAGGAGGCAGAGGCAGGTGGATCTCTCTGAGTTCAAGGTCACCACGGTCTCCAGAGCCAGTTCGAGGACAGCCTCCAAAGTAATACAGAGAAAACAACAACAAAAACCAATCAAACAAAAAAACTGTTTCCCGGCCGGGCGTTGGTGGCGCACGCCTTTAATCCCAGCACTCGGGAGGCAGAGGCAGGCGGATCTCTGTGAGTTCGAGGCCAGCCTGGACTACCAAGTGAGTTCCAGGACAGCCTCCAAAGCCACAAAGAAACCCTGTCTCGAAAAACCAAAAAAAAAAAAAACAAAACAAAAACAAAAACTGTTTCCCTACATTGCCCTGGCTTTCCTGTGTCTTACTATGTAGATCAGGCTAGTCTGTAAATCAGAGATATCTGTCAACAAAGTACAGAAATTAAAAGTATATGTCACTATGCATGGACCTTCTTTTGAAACTTTTTGATAAGGAATATCAGATTTTACTTTACTTTATTTCTTCCTTTTATTGCTGAGAAACGTGGCCCAGGGTGTTTTGAATATATACAAATTCCTATAGTGTGATGACAGTTATATTGCAATAGTTTGAGTTCAGGATAACCTTACTAGGGTTGAAAAGTAATTGTTGAATGTTATACTTTACCAAATTGCTATAAATTATTATAGCTAAATGGGGGGAAAGACCACTCAACACTTGAAAAACACTGTGTGATCATGTGATCATAAAATTTAACTGAAAAGATACATGTAACAACACAAAAGGCTATGTATTTTATTACATTTGTTGGTTTTTGTTGAGACAGTATGGAAAACAAAATGAAAAGGAAAGAACATGACTGCTCTTGGTATGGTGGAGGAAGATGTTTACTGTAGAAATGTGGGAGAGCATAGTCAGAGGCAGGGACATCTGGGAGGGTCCCGGCTGAGCGGGGGCATGTGGAAGACCAGGGTGGGAGAGAGAGGGTGAGAGGGGAACCAGGTGTGGCAGTCAGGAGGACAAAGGTCCTAAAGTGGTGGGTAATCAAAATGTCTGGGTCATATAGAGAAACCTCTGGGAGAAGTGTAGCCCAGCCCTTGGGCTGCAGAGTTCTGGGCAGAGAGTGGGGTATGTCAGCCATACCCTGTAACTGGTAGGCACCGGGGAATGCTGGGAGAACCTGGCATCCAAGTCCATCTTTGATATGTTAAATAGGCACCTCAGAAAATTTGTCCCTTGTTTGACACTTAACAGAGACAAGGTGGGCTGGCCTTGAACTCCTGCTTTCTTGCCTCTTACCTCCCAAGTGTTAAGATGACAGACTGCTGGGCAGTGGTGGTGGTGCACATCTTTAATCCCAACACTCGGTTGGCAGAGGCACCAACCTGGTCTACTGAGTGACTTCGCAGAACAGTCTCCAAAGTTACATAGAAACCCTATCTCAAAAAACAAGAAAACAAAGCTGGGCAGTGATGGCGCATGCCTTTAATCCCAGCACTCAGGAGGCAGAGGCAGGCAGATCTCTGTGAGTTTGAGACCAACCTGGTCTCCAAGAGCTGTTCCAGGATAGCCTCCAAAGCCAGAGAAACCCTCTCTTGGAAAAAACAACCAACCAACCAACCAACCAAACAAACAAACAAAAAAACAAAGAAAGTGACAGATCCTCATCATCATACTTGGTTCATCTGATTGTACTTATATGAAATGTTCTGAACTGTACACTTTTAAACATTCTAGTCTTAGTGCTGAAGAGATGGCACCGTGGTTAAAAGCACTTGTCTCTCTCATAGAGGACCTGGGATAAATTCCCAGCACCAGTGGTGGTTCATGACCACTATTTTTTTTTTTTGTTTTGTTTTGTTTTTCAAGGCAGAGTTTCTCTGTGACTTTGGAGTTTGTCCTGGAACCAGCTCTTGTAGACCAGGCTGGCCTCGAACTTACAGAGATCTGCCTGCCTCTGCCTCCCAAGAGCTGGGATTAAAGGCGTGCGCCACCACCGCCCGACTTTCATGACTACTATTAACGACAGTTACAAGGAAATCCTCCATCCTCTTCTGAAATCTAAACATACACCTGGTGCACATACATATATGCAGGCAAAAACCCTCTAGAAATGGAAAAAAAATCTAATAAAAGCATTTGTAAAAGTTCTACCTGGTGTAGTGGTTTGTTCCTGTAAATCATGGGCACTATGAGACCCAGAAGTTCAAATCCTGTTAGGGCCACATGTGGGAAAAACTAGACACATATGTAGAGCAGGTCTTTCTTTGGACTGGCAGCTTTTTTTTTTTTTTTTTTTTTTTTTTGAGACAGCTCTAGCTGTCCTGGAACTCCCTCTGTAGACCAGGGTGTCCTCAAACTCAGAGATCTGCCTGCCTCTGCCTCTGCCTCCCGAGTGGTGGGATCAAGGGCGTATGCCTTAACAGCCCAGCTGAAATTTTTTTTTTTTGGTTTTTCGAGACAGGGTTTCTCTGTGGCTTTGGAGGCTGTCCTGGAACTCGCTTGGTAGTCCAGGCTGGTCTCGAACTCACAGAGATCCGCCTGCCTCTGCCTCCCGAGTGCTGGGATTAAAGGCGTGCGCCACCCCCCACCCCCGGCTTAAGAGCTAGTTGGAAACAAGCCTAACCTAAGGACAAGCTTTCATGATTGTCTCTGTGTTGGGGCTGAAGAGATGGCTCAGGGGTTGATAGTTCTGACTGCTCTTCCAGAAGACCTAGGTGCAATTCCCAATACCCACATGGCAGCACACAACTGTCCTAATACCTCGCACAAACACACAGGTAAAAAGAACAATGCACATTAAAAATATTTCAGCTGGCCGGGCGTTGGTGGCACACGCCTTTAATCCCAGCACTCGGGAGGCAGAGGCAGGCGGATCTCTGTGAGTTCGAGGCTGGGCTGGACCGATAGCCTCCAAAACAATACAGAGAAACCCTGTCTCGTAAAAACCAAACCAAACAAAACAAAAACAACTTACACTAACCTGTTCATATTAATCTACATTCTGCCACATGGCCTGTTACCTCTCCTCAGTACCAAACATCCAACTTCTTCCATGTCTGGCTGACGGATAGTTCCTGTCTCTCTCCGGTAGCCCTGCCTATCCTCTCTTGCCTAGCTATAGGCCGTTCAACTCTTTATTAAACCAATCAGAAGGTACGGCAGAAAGGCGAGGTAAGACTGACACATCTTCACACAGCATTCAAAAAGATTATCCCCCCATATACGAATGTATCACATATCTTCCAAATACTGATTTTTTTTTTTTTTTTTTTTTTTGGTTTTTCGAGACAGGGTTTCTCTGTAGCTTTGGAGGCTGTCCTGGAACTCGCTCTGTAGACCAGGCTGGCCTCGAACTCACAGAGATCCACCTGCCTCTGCCTCCCGAGTGCTGGGATTAAAGGCGTGCGCCACCAACGCCCGGCTAATACTGATGTTTTTTAATGTTAATTACATCTCCATTAAAAAAAAAAAGACAATTCAGATCTTACACTTTCATTCTTTCAAGCAAATCGCAGTATACTAGAAAATGGACAACCACAAGATGGCGGCCAACCCGGCGTGACCACGTGACCCCCACTGGTTCTCTGGTTCTCTGGCTCCCAGTGAGGAGCCCCGTTTTGCCTCCGAGCCGGGCACAAGGACGGCCAGCTCATTGTGAAGCAAAGCCAAGGTAACCCGGCTCGGGCACGCGCTAACTCCGGGCGCTTGTGAGCGCGCACGCGGGGAGCGCGCACGCCGAACGTCCCGCCGCCGGCGCCGGTGCCTCGCCGAGACGGGAGGAGGTGCGGCGTGGTGGGAAGAGGGCGAAGTTGGCGCATGCGCCTGGACTTGACGGGTTTTGAAATGGCTTCGGTGTTAAACCGGACCGGACACAGGTGAAGGACTGCTTAGTGCTTTTGCTCTGGAGCGGTGGGAGGCCGAGTCATGCTGCTTCGGCCCGCGGCGGGTCGGCGGAGGGCTCGGGGACGCCGGAGGTGGGAGGCGCGGGCGGGCGGTGGCGGCCGCGGTGGGGCAGGCGAGCGACGGACACGGCCCCTTTTGTGCGGGTCGGAGCAGGCCCCGCGCGGCGCGCCCTTCCCCCAGCGCGCCGGCTCCCGGCCCCTCAGGTGCGGCCTGCCTGCGCCCCTCAGCCTGCTCGGGCGGACGCCGTGCGTGCTCGGGCCGGCGCGGCCGCGGCGCCGAGCCCCAGCCGGGTCCCGGGCGGCCGCGACTGTTTTCGGGGGTTAGAGGCGCTCTCAGACCGGCCTAAGGGCCTCGGGGACAGTGACGGCCCGCGGGCCCCTGCGGACGCTGTGGCCGTGGCCTGAGGCGCTTGGGTTCCATCTTCCGCGGCCTGCGCCCTAGAGAGGCTGGAACGGGAGGAAGATGGGCGTCACAGCCCGGCCCGTCGGGTGCCCAGCTGGGGTGGCCAGGCCCATCCTTACCTTTTCTCTTTGACTTCGGCGGGGGGAGGACATGGGGGGGTCTTCGCAGCGGTTCTTTTTGAGGCGTGCGTTCTCCCAACGGCCTTTCCTCTCCGGAGTGGAGAGACTAGGGTGACAGAGGCCATAGTGATTTCCCTAGCCACATCCTCAAGTAATGTTCGTTATTAAAATCCTCAGTACCTTTGCCTTTATGGGGGAGGGGGCGTCACGACGTAGTTTCCGTTATTGACATAACCACTGCATGACCTCAGTCCATTGCCCGGAGACACACTCAGGCTATTTATTCTTTCTGTGTCTATCACGTTTGTTTATACACAGTCTTCTGTATAGCCTTAGCTATAACGCCATATAAACCATGCTGGCCTGGAATTTATAGAGGTCTGACTGACTCTGCCTCCTGAGTGCTGAGGTTAAAGGTGTGCGCCACCAAGCCTGGCCAGGCCTTTTTTTGAAAAATGTCACTGTAGTCCCTGTCACTGTAGTCCCGGAAGGAAGTTCCTGTAAATCCACCCCTAAAGATACCATTTAAATACGGTATACCTAGTGATCTTGTTGATGGTGTGTTTTATTTTAAAGGTTCGGTTTGCACACATTCTGTTCCAGTTCTCCTTTGGAACACGTCTTTAATCTGTCAGTCACTTCTCTAAAATAGCCTTTTGTGGTATTTTTAATTTGGTTGAACTTTGACACATGAATCCTTCCTTCATAGATACCTGCTATAGAAGAGAAGTAAGTCAAGGTTTCTCCCTCCTTGAATCATGGCTCAGTTTGGAGGACAGAAGAATCCACCGTGGGCCACTCAGTTTACAGCCACTGCAGTATCACAACCAGGTCAGGCAACTGAACACTTGTACCGTGTGTGTGTGTGTGTGTGTGTGTGTGTGTGTGTGTGTGTGTGTGTGTGTGTGTGTGTGTGTGTGTGTGTGTGTGTGTGTGGGCTGTCTCAGTTGGGATTTAGGTTAATGCACGGGATAGCAAAATGTTTGAAAATGGTGTATCTTTTTTTTTAAGGACATTTTTGAAAATTAACATAACAACAAAACTATCCAGGAGTTTGGACGATTTTATAGCTTTTTTTTCCTTTTGTTTTTTTGGCTTGGTTTGGTTTTTTGAGGCAGGGTTCTCTCTGTGTAGCTTTGGAGCCTGTCTTGGAACTTGTTTTATATACCAGGCTGGCCTCGAATGGACAGCCTGCCTCAGCCCCGGAACGATAGAATTAAAGGCATTTGTTACTACTGTGCAGTGGTCTTGTTTGTTGGTTTGTTTTTGTTATCTGTATCTTAAAAGAGTTTTTAAATTTATTTATTTATTTATTTAGTTTGTTTGTTTGTTTTTTGGGTTTTTCCAGACAGGGTTTCTCGGTGGCTTTGGAGGCTGTCTGCCTCCCGAGTGCTGGGATTAAAGGCGAGCACCACCAACACCCAGCCACTTTATCATTTTTGTTTTGCATTTGATATAGAGTCTCCATTAGCAGTAACCCTTAAGGCATGGGCCACCAAACCTGGCTTATAGTTTTCAAATACCTTAAGTTATCTTTTTTTCACCAGTTTATTGAGACAGGTTTTCTCTGTGTAGTTCTGGCTGTCCTGGAACTTGCTCTGTAAACCAAATTGGCATTGAATTCACAGAGATCTACCAGCCTCTGCCTCCCTGGAACTAAAGGTGTACACCACCATGCCAATAATTAGAGTTGACTTAATTATGTGTTATGGAACATTACTTTATTAGAACAAACCGATCTACCTTTCTCCCTGCTTCCTTCCCTTCTTTGTGTTGCTTAGGGATTTAATCTATGTAGTTTCAAGACACGTTTTAGACCAGGTATGGTGATACATGCCTCAAAAAAACACAACAGAAAAACAAAACCAAAAAAATCATACATTTTAAATATATCTAAATGCCATAATTTATAAAATGTTTTATACGACTTTTTCTTTAAAAATTTGTTATTTTTTGCTGGACATGGTGGTATATGCTTTTAATTCTAACACTCAGGAGGCAGAGGCAGGTGACTCTTTTAGTTTGAAGTCTAAATAGTGACTTCCATGATGGTCAGGGCTACATAGAGAGACCTTGTCTCAATAGCCATCCCATCTTTTCTTTCTTTCTTTTTTTTTCCCACTAATTAAAAAAAAATTACATTTGTGTGTGCCTCTGGGGGATGGGGAGTTGGGAGGAGACAGTGCACATGTACCCAGTGAGCCTTCTCACTCACTCATTGTGCGTCTAATGTATATGAGTACGTGTGTGTGTGTGTGTGTGTCTGTCTGTCTGTCTGTCTGTCTTGTCTGTCTGTCTGTGTTTCTGTTTGTGTCTGTGTGTGTATAGGTTAGAGGACAGCTTTGGGGGTTCTTTCCCTCCACGATAGGTTCTGGTATTGAACTCAGATTGTAGGATTTGCATAGCAAGTGCTTTTGCCCACAGAGTCTTATTGCTAGTTCAGTTATGGTTTTCACTTGTTTGAATTTAATGTAGAAATACTATTCTATAAGAATTTAATTACCAGAGACTTTAGAGGACATGTCTTAGGCAGCTTCTTAAACAGCATCCACAAAGTCTTGGATTTGATTTCTAGCACTTCATTACACTGGGTGTGGTGCTGTCTTCCAGAAATCAAGCACTTGTGAGGTAGAGGCAGGAGGATCAGAAGTTCAAGTGATCCCTTAGTGAGTTTCAGGTCACACTTGACCACAAGTGTTCTTGACTTTTAAAACAATATATTGTTCATCTTAGTGGTGCATTCCTTTAATTCCAGAGCACTCAGGAGTCTGAGACAGGTGGATTTCTGTGAGTGTCAGGGCAGCTTGGTCTATATAGCAAGTTCCAAGACAGGCAGTGAGATTCCCGTCTCAACCAAAACAAAACAAAAACCCAATAACTAATGGGCCAAGGGGAAAAAATAGCTATAAACGTCATAAATGAATGCTTACAGTTTCAAAATAAAGCTTAAAAAAAAGTCTTTTTCCAGAGGCATAAAACCAAAAATAAATAAGAAGCCATTTGCTACTCATTGTGATTTTTTTGTTTTGTATTTCCCCACTCTTCCCCCACCTGCTCCAGGGCTTTGTACATGCTAGGCAAGCTTCATCAGAATTTTCAGGGTTTTTTTAGACATGTGTGTATTTTTGTGTATCTATATGGGTGTGTATGTGCAGGTCAAAGGACAGTTTGTAGCAGTTGAGTTGATTGTATACTTCCATCTTGTGGACTCCAGGGTTCAAACTCATGTCTCAAGATTGGTAGGGGGATGAATTGATTTCATTTAACAACTCTCAGGTCACACTCCATCACCGAGAGAAATCAATAGGAACCTAGAGGCAGGAACTAATAACCGACAGGCTTGTCTATAGGTCCCTCATGGAGGAATTTTCTCAATTGTGGCTCCCTCTTACATAACTCTACTCAAGTTGACAAGGGAAAGAGCCAGGACAATTAACCCCTTGTCAGCTTGAAGCACAAACATATTTTTCTATGTTAGGATTATTATTGCTGTTATAAAATACTGACCAAAAGTAACTTGTAGAGGATTGCTGTTACTGACTGCTCCTTATAGCTAGCTCAGCCTGCTTTCAGATAGCATCTAGGACCACTGTGGAGGGGGGCCCACTGGGCTGGGCCTTCCCACATCAATCACTAAGAAATGTCTCACAGGCTTGAATAGAGGCCATTGGAGAAGTTTTCTCAGCTGTTAGGGTTTCTATTGCTGTGAAGAGACACTATGGCCATGGCAACTCTTTTTCTTTCTCTGGCTTTGGAGGCTGTCCTGGAACTAGCTCATGTAGACTAGGCTAGTCTCAAACTCACAGAGAGCCGCCTACCTCTGCCTAGTGCTGGGACTAAAGGCATGCACCACCACTGCCCAGCCAACCATGGCAACTCTTATAAAGGAAAATGTTTAATTGGGGCTGGTTTTATAGTTCAGAGGTTTAGTCCATTGTCATCATGGTGGGAAATGTGTTAGAATACAGGCAGACATGGTGCTGGAGAGGTAGCTCAGAGTTCTACATCTGGATCAGCAGGCAGCAGGAAGAAAGATTGAGCCACTGGACTTGGCTTGCGCTTCTGAAACTCAAGCCCACCCTTAGTGACACATTTCCTTCAACAAGGCCACACCTATTCCAACAAGGCCACCTAATCCTAATCCTTTCAAATAATGCTATCCCCATGAGCCTATGGGGGTCATTTTTCATTGAGACCACAATTGTGGATCCTTCTTTCTCAGATAACTTTGGGTTGTGTCAAGTGGACAAAAACTGCCAACCAGAACAATACTTTGTCAGTTTTCTCTCTAGTGTTTTTAGATAAGATCTCTTTATTTTATTTTATTTATTATGTATACATTCTTCTGCATGTGTGCCAACAGAAGGCATCAGATCTCATTCAAGGTGGTTGTGAGCCACCATGTGGTTGCTGGGAATTGAACTCAGGACCTCTGGAAGAACAGTCGGTGCTCTTAACCTCTGAGCCATCTCTCCGGCCCTAGATAAGATCTCTTAGAGCCCAGGATGACCTTGAATTCCTGGATTTCCTGTCTGCCATGTGTTCTTTCAGTAACACAGCCCCCACATACCTATATGTATACATGTATTTGGTTTTGTATTTTTGAGACTAGGTCTCTCTGTGAAACCTAGCTGTCTTAGAGCTTGATTATATAGACCACGGTAGCTTCAAATTCATAGCCATCTTCATGCCTCTGTACCCCTGGCCTTCTAGTCTGGCATTAAAGGTGTATGTCCAGCTCCGAGAAATACTTTTGACTAGAGTCTGGGTCTAGGTTAAGTTGGTTGTGTTACTGCAGTGTGGGTCAGTGGAGCCAGTTTTTCTTACATTTGTAATGGGAGGTCATGGGAGATTCCTGCAAAAAAACAAAACAAAAAACAGTAATCTTGATCCCTCTCCTCTTTTAATCTCACTTTAGCTGCACTAGGTGTTCAGCAGCCATCACTTCTGGGAGCATCTCCTACCATTTATACCCAGCAGACTGCATTGGCAGCAGCAGGCCTTACCACACAAACGCCAGCAAACTATCAGTTAACACAAACTGCAGCACTTCAGCAGCAAGCTGCAGCTGCTGCAGCTGCATTACAGCAGGTAAGTTTCAATGTGATGAATGAGATGATAAAAATGATACCTGGAGGTGCTCTCTTTCACTTGGTCATTTGTCTTGTTTTTGAGACAGGCTGTCTACATTGTTTATGTTGGCCTTGAACTCATGACTTTACTACTTAACACCTCAAGTGTGTGCTAATATGACTTAAACAATGAAGAATTGTAGATTTAAAAAAAACTATTTGTAGTTAGGTATTGGTTATACACACTTGGTCACAGCAATTGGGATGTAGTGGCTGGTGGATCTCTGTGAGTTCAAGGACTGGTAGGGCTACACAGAGAAACCCTTTTTCGAAAAAAAAAAAAAAAAAACAACCAAACAAGTATACCCACAAATTTTTTTCCTGGTGTTAAGAATTGCACTGTATGGGGACTGCAGAGATGGCTGAGTGTTTAAGAGCACTGACTGCTCTTCCAGAGGACCTGTGTTCAATTCCCAGCCCCCATATGGTAGCTTACAACTGCCTGTAACTCTGGTTCCATGGAATAGGACACCCATGACAAAACACCAATGCACATAAAAAATTGCATGGCAGG